TGCATATGGGATGGCTATATTTTTAATTCTATGAAGTGTGGTCTGCAAGCTGGACAAAGAGAAGATATGCGTCACGAAGAGCGGCTTGAGTTCCTCGTAGCATAGACGAGTGAGCAAGCTTTTTGGGACACAATCAGTCCATACCCCCTAAATACACACATTTATTCCATGGGCAAAAGTGTGAAGATTGGAAAATATTTTGTTGAACAAAGTCATGTAGGTTTGTGGGCGAATATTAGGAGGATAACACTTAGTGGAAGGAGATGTGAATTCACTTTTCTCATCATTCGGGTGACTACTTCTCATCACTTCCTCCACTGAAGATGCCCGCGAATAGCTTGAGAGTGTGCATGAGCAGTCCTTTTTTACTGAACTAACATATTACTAAAATAGCATTCTTCACTTTCCGCTTGCTAAGCTAAAAGGTCTAACTGTATCTATACCAGGAAAGGAGGCTGCCACCACGTAGAAGGTCTTCATGTATACTCCAAACAAATTTGAAGCCGATACTTGAGACCAGATGTCAAGGCTTTACTCATCTTTAATGAATCAGGTATGGAAAAGTTCTTTCTCATCGAATTGGGTAAGAGAGTTGTCTGAGGATTCGCATTAAAAAAAACCATTATCCAGCTAGTTCCAAGACCAGCAAAGAGAAGTCGATTTGAAGGAAATAGCATAGGCCAAATCCTCACTGTCAACAATCAAATGTCATTTTGAGAGAAAGTTTGTGATGAAGTAAATCGTTTTCATCACAACCGAGGACGATTGCTTCGAGGACTGCGTCGACCCGTAAATCCAAACATCAGCAGACCAAAGGTAATCCGCTGACTTCTTCTAGTGAAGTCTCTTCATCACATGCTTTCACTCCAAGAGAACTTCACGTCTATGCTGGTACATCAATAGATTCCTCAAATACCAGCTTTCCCTCGTCTCTGAATGCATGCATGCATCCATATTAAGGGCCTACTTGCAAGTAGTGTCTCTCAGTTACAAGCAGGTCGCGATTAGTATGAGTAATTCTTACTGTGAAATGACGTAATATTACAAATTTCCTATTCGAAGCGATTTTATAAGGTAATATAATTGGTTCCATCCCAATGAAAGGACCCAATAAACATTTTTAACTTCTTAATGTGATACAGAAAGTTATGAAAGGAATCAACGCCTGTTGAGAAACATCTCAACATTCATCGTGGATAGAATCGTTAACAGCCGCTATCGGCTCCGAATCAAAAACCGTTGCCATCTATTAAAAAATAATAATAATAAACTAATAAAACAATTGATATATTAACAAATAATAAAATTAATTCCTTACACTTTCATCAAAAATATGTGACCTAAACTTGATGGAGGATTGTAAGCCTGTCCCATGTGATCATTTAATCCTCTCCCACGTCTTCCAACTATCTTTAACACTTGTTTGGACCCTCGTTTCTGGAGAATGCTATAGACGAGAGTAAGCACGTGACTCTGCCCACTCGGTTGAGTGAACTATTATGTCAATTCTCGCATCGGGAGCCCCAATTGCCCCCATCTATTTCGTGTTGAATGCTCATTCAGATAAATACAATTTCGCAACTCTTATTCGTAAAACGAATTCCACAATCAAATTGCAACTCTATTTCGCAAGGTAAGTTGAGAAAATGCTTATCCTTCGCCAAGAGGCTGAGGGCTATTAATTGTATTGTGTATTTTGGTGGTTTCTCTTCCCGACAGAGGCAAGCGCATACACGCGCATGCACTCAAACCTAAAAGATCTTATATTCTTAACTAGTACCTTAGTAGGTAGGTAGTATGCGGTTATAAAAAGTTAAGTAATAAAATTACTTTTATAAATTTCATCAAAAATAAGTTCATTAAATGGAATGGATTAATGCGAGCCTGTTTCATATAATCATTTAATATTCCTTCTCTTCTTTCGACAACACTTTTCAATTGTTAGGCTTCTCTTCCTCGATAATAAGCATGTATTTCTGCTTACTCCTGCATATGGGAGCCCCAACTAGTCGCTTTATTTTCCTATTTTGTGTGACACGCTTATTCTAATTCCGCAACTCTTATCCACAAAACTAATTCCTGTTCATTTTCCTTAACCTTTTCACTTGTCCGCGCCCCTCGGCCCTCTCTCCTCTTGATCCTTTTTGGTACAATTAGCCGCCAGCAGAGCTCGGGAACCACAGAGAAGCGACTCTATATCCCTACTCGAGCATGCCTCTCGTCGTTCTCTCATTGTCGATTGTCATGTGCCGGAATTGTTGTTGCCCCAAGAGAACATTGCACAGGTGGCCGAATCTACCATCGGCCTCGACGGCCTGAATGGTGGTAGCGACGGCCGGAGCGGCGGAGGATCCATTCTCGCGGGACTGGGCACACTTGCTTCTACACACTTTCCTCTACAGCCCGATTCAGCTCTCAGCTCGAGTTCCGGCTTTGGGTCTGCTCCAAACGACGTCGGGCATGCTTCTAGCCCCTGCATCAGTCCTCAGACGACGGCCAAATCTGGTGGCGGCCTGGTCACGGACCGTCCCGACGAAGCCGGCGTCCGCTTGTCTGGTCAGCCGGAAGCGAGGCAATTCGTGTTTGAGCCTGCGCAACCGAGGCCGCTGGGCGTTACTAAGGCCTCTGTAGAGGCGGCTGGCTGTATCGGCGCAAGAGAAGCCTGTCGTCGAGGCCTGTATAAGGTTTCATTCGGCTCAACCTTGACAGAATACCATAGCAGCGAAGCAACTATCTGCTCCAGTTCGCAAGGTGAGCTGACAATGCGCTTCTGCTTCATTCTGAGGCTTGGAGAGTTATTGCATATATTGTGCCTTTTGACGGCTTTACCACTTGATCATTTCTTCATTTCATCCAAGATAGAGTCGTGGAACGTTTATTTACTATATAAAATATATAAATATGAGCATATATACGGATAATAGTATAATAAATTTTGATTTATAAATAAATAGTAAACTGAAAATGGTAAAATTTCACAAAAAATAAGTAACCAATATGTAATCATTTAATCTTTTTTCCCTCCTTCCAACCACCTTGAACAGTTTTTAGACCCCTCTTTCTGGAGACTTTTAAACAAGGTAATAAGCATGCCATTTTGTTCACTCGGCCGAATTAACCATTCTGCCAAATCCTTCCTAAGGGAGCCCCAACTGGCTGCTTTCTTTACCAATTTCTATGGAAAGCTCATTCCGATTAATCCGATTCCACAAATCTTATCCACGAAATTACCATCCAAATCAATTATCAGCACCAGTTGGCAAGGTGAGCTAAGAAAGCGCTTCTTCTCCCCGAAGAGCTGAAGGCTATTAATGTTAATGTATATTTTGGGAGTTTCTCTCCCTGGTAGAGTCAAATGCATATGAACACATGCACTCAAGCCTAGAAGTTCTTATATTTATAACTAATCCCTTAGTAACAGGTTATATTAGCAGCAAGCTATATTCCTATTCATTATTCGTTTGATCTAGAACAAGGGCTGTAGTCAGCACAGGTCTCGTAAAGCGATGAGGAGCTGATAGTTGAACTTTCCCTCTATCACTTTTTTGACATTCTATACAACAGGATAATTACAGCTCTTATAAAATTCTGAGAAATACTATTTAGATCATTTTATCCATATATTTTTACTTATTTTTAATATAACAATTCGAGTCCCCCTGGTTAACATACGGTGATGAAGGATTAATAGTTGAATTTTCCCTCTTATTTATTAATAGGCCTCATATTTCCACTCAATTTCATATAGCCTTACTTCCCAAAAAACATTCTCCTCCGGGCTAAATGCAACAGCAAAAGTGTAGTTTTCAAAACTATCAGTAAATCTTGAATTAAATTTCCGGTTACCTACGTATTGTGAATACAAGTAAGGTTTTTGTCGTGAGTCTATTTAGCATGTAAGATAGGATTGATGAGTCTTCTTGACTTGGTATTAACTTTCGATTTTCCTAGAAGTGAGTTCCAGCTGTGAAGCTGTCTATAAAATGACGAACCACAGCCCAACTCATTTTGACTCGGACCGAAGACGGAGATTTTGTTGACTTCGTCAACCTCAATGTTACAATAAAAGCAAACGGCTACAAGGCAACGGACATCATCCATTGCCTTTTGGTAAGAGTGACCTTCGAACTCATTCGTCTGCTGCATTTCCACACGAAATAAAAGTCATCGCATGTTCATATTGAGTAGGTTTCGATACTACCAGTATCTCTTAACTTAGAACTAGATTAAGTGAGGAAGGACCGATAGCTAAGTTTTCCCACAATCATATGAGTTGACCTCATGATACTATTATATTTCAATTAGTCTCGCCTTCCAAAAGTATTTCTTATCCGGCGTGAGCAGCTTCTTTGACTTCGTCTGAGTCTCATCAAACGAAATGGAAGCTATGCCAGTATTCAACTATTTGTTCTTAAGCCATCTTATGTGATCTAGAGTGACTAAATTCTTATTCAAAAATTACCGATAAACTCTAACTCTACTCATCTTGAAAAAAGTAACGCCGTTGATTTCAATGAAAAACATATTTGCTCAATCGACTTTCCCACAATACGTGTGATTTTGAAGAGGCCTTACCTGCCTTTAATGTTACATCTACCCCGTGATCCGATGAAATATGTGGCCTTATGGGAGGCAATTGATTCAGAGTGAAATTTACTAGTATCATAAGGCCCATTCATCTGATTGTGGTACAAATTCAATCACCACTCATTAAATCACTAAGCGACCTAAGTTAACTACGTTTCCTCACCCAGCAACCTCGTCAGCACCCCCAATTTACCCATTCGGAATAAATACGCCAGGAACTTTCAGAATTTCTCATCTAATCCTATATTTTATCTTGTCCTTGGATTTGTTAGACTCATGACCCCTGCATTAAATTTTTTTTTTAATTTTTTGTGTGCTCTTCACTGATTTTCTTTCTTACATACATTGGACTTCACTCTCTTCAGAACATCAGCAGCGGCTTTCATCACTTATTCAAGTCCCCCATGAGTACCAGCAATTTTTCCCTGATACTCAGGAACCCTGGCCGTCTAACGCGCCTATGGAATCACAGCAGACTTGTCCCGATGACTCCTACGTAACCGCCTTTCCTGGCTCTTTCTCCTTTAATGCCCTTCTAGTCAATGATCCAACTTTTATGTCTCCGAAAGACCGGAACCATTTAGCCGAGTTTGAGGCTTGTGGCAAGACGATACACAGCCCTCCGGCCGAGAGCGACTTGCACAGAAACCCTCCGGTAGAATTGAATGAGAATCCCACTCCATTGCTGAATCTCATTGGGACAGCTGCTTTAGCGACCTCATTTAACGAGTTACAGGTGAAGGAAGCCGTTTAGTATGAATATTTTTCAAAGTTATTAGTGAGTCATAAATATAAACTTTAGTCAGTTAGAAGTGGGTTGACCTCGTTGTCGCAACTTGGTCTTGTTTTCAGGGAGACCATGTAGAACGC